CAATATATGTGCATTTATATGCAGTTATTTAGCGTGTGCTGCTTTACAAAGCATATTTTTGTATAAATTTTAGTTTTATTTAGCATACGATTTTTTGTATTTATTTATTTATTTCTTTTTTATTTCGTATAAAAATCATATATTTTTTACTCTATGATGCGCAGTTTATTTCACACGCAGTGCAGTGTTTAGTTTCTGGCTTTATTGTATTTATTTTCTGCTTGATCCACTTTACCACAACCAGCGCCGTGCATAATTCTATCTATTTTTTTTTTTTGTCCCAAGCAGAAAGGCATTACGAACTTGTTATAGCATTTGTATCGAATAAAAAAGTTAGTCAAATTTCTTGAAATAATATGTATGTATATGTGTACAGATATAGTTTTAATATTAACTGGTATTAGCAGGTTTGAGCGTTGTCAAACCCAATTGGTACATATTTCATTATCGTGAATTTCTAAATTAATTAACCTTTTTGACCAACTCAATCTTCTACCAGAAAAAATTCTGTAGTGTATTCAATTGTCTGCTAGTCGAGTGAACAACGTTCTTTTTTTTTTTTTTTTTTTTTTTTTGCTATTTTGCGCTAATTTCATTTGCAGTGCTTAATGCTTTTGTGATTTTGTCCGCGTTTTTTCTACACTTTTATTTATGCTAATATAATCCAATTGTTGTGTTAGGGGAATATGAAAGAGTGCAAACCGCAGACAAGTGGCGTCAAACGATTCGTATGAGTAATGCGAAGTAACAAATAGATGACTGTTGGGTACATAATAGTAAAGATAATTACAGTATAATGTAGAGCAGGAAGGATAGATAGAACCGAATATTAAATACGCTGTTGTGCAAGGTCTTTACATATATTAAAGCATTATTTGCGACTTGAGTATGTTCGGAGAGAGATAAGAGAATTTAGGGTGCTTCAGTAGAGGCCCTATTAATACAGAGTCATGTATGCATACATATAAATACTTTTAGATTTTCTCATAAACATGTTGTCACGAAAAGTATAATCAACAGAATCAAATAACATGCTTGAACACTTCATATTAGCCTCAAGAGCACTTACAGGTGTTTGTCATTTGCTTCATTTTCATAATTAAAAATTTCTGAGGTGCTCCTGCCTTATGTATAATTAATTAGTACTTAAGTAATCATCAATTACTTTGCATTTGCGAAATCCTACAAATTGGGTCTAAGCTAATGTAGCCCCACTGATCCAAGTCACAAAATCATGTTAAATGCTTAGCTTAAGCGACATGTGTTACGCCTAGCTATTCGCATTTGCTAAGCTCCGACATGTTTTCACAGTTTTGGGTTAAAACTGCTAATCCAAACTATGTGTCAATTACCTAACACCTTGCCACCAACCCCAGCATCCAATTCACCCTGTGCGCCCCGCACACCCCCCGAGCTATTGACTTTGCCAAGTTTCATGGACCACAAATTTGTAGCAATTTGTATTTGGTATTAGTTGCCGTTGATGGGTAATGCATATAACACCTACACGATGGCTATAAATTTCACTAAATTTTATAAAGTCAACTCTCAGATACTTTTCAAACACACACACACACACGCTCACATATATATTAAGAGACGCCACTAAGTGCTTCTCACACGTAGCAAAAGTAAATGTGTTTATATATATATACGTAACGGACGGAAAGTACACGAAGCCAAAAGGATGAACATTAGATACATTCATGCTGAGACTTCCGCCCACACACACACGCACGCATGCACATATATAAATATACACACAGACACATGCTTGGCGACCCACACAACAATTCACACGTAGTAAGTGGCAGGTTAAGAACCCAACATTGACTACCACAATAGACAACATTAAAGTTGGCTTCAGCAGGAGCAGGAGCTATGCCACAGCTCCATAATATTGAAGTTTCGTCGTTTCTGTTAGATATTATAGAGCATTTTCTCAGAGCAAGAAATGAGCTGTAGAAAATTAATATTTGGATTTTTTCTCTCTAAGTTTGAAGTAAAACTTAAAGCTATTTAAGTTCGTGTTAAAACTTTTGTTGCTAGCTTAGCTTAGCTGCATAAATTTGTAGTTTTAATTTAGTAATCTAGTACGAAATTTGTAAGCGTAACTAACTTTCGGCTTAAGTGCTGCTGAAACTTCTCCGCTTTCTTTTAAAATTTGTCTGTGTTTTTTTTTTACTTGTGTTATTTCCCAGTTTTGCTTTCTTGCTCAAGCGTTTAAAGAATAATAGACACATGTGAGTGAATGCAGTAAAAAACGTAAAGCCAGAAAGCGGCCAGTTTGGCCAAGTTGCACAGTTGAATACTCTTTTTGGTATGTTTAGTAAAGTAATGTCAGAGTAGAAAAATATGTTTTCGTATGAATATAGAAATATTATATTAAATTATTTTTTCTACTCTAATATCTATGTAAAAGTACTATTTCAATAATATTTCTGTATAGCATATAGTGAATATGAATTTTTAGATCTCTTTAGTACTTGTGTAGTACATATCTATAATGTATTACTAAATGCATTTTTAGTACACATATAGAATTTACTATGAAATGCATTTTAGCTCTAGTACGCTTTTAGTACACATTTATAATGTATTATAAAATGCACTTATATTACTCTTTAGAGCACACTTTTAGTACACATATGGAATCTACAATAAATTTGACGTTTTTAGCCATGAGTTTTCCTGTCCTAGCTTAAGGACTTTCACTCAGAGTAAAGCGTGTATTGTATTTTTTTTCTTTTTTTGTTTTTTTTTTTGTTTTTTTTTTTTTTTTTTGCAAATTTTACAAATACGTTTGGCGTGCGTCGGTGCATTTAGAGTCTCGCCGAGAGTTCTGGCCGTAGGTGGCCAGACGAGGCTTCGTTTTTGTGGTTGCATTTCGTGTTAGAGTGCCTGCTGTGGGCGTCTCGTATTTGTTTTATTTCATTTCTTTATTTTATTTTTTTTTTATTTATTTTTTTTTTTGCGTTGGCTTAATAAAAATACATTCTGCACGTGGTGTGCGATGCTGTAACATGGCACACACACACACACATGGAGAGCGCAAGAGGCTGTTCAGTGAGCCGTGCAAGTTTTTAGTACTTATTCGTAGTATTTGTTGTACTATCTGTGGGATCTGTATGTAGTCGTATGTCTGTCTGCCTGTATGCATGTGTGTACGTGTGTTTTCGTGTGTGTATTTGTGTTGGCGTAGCGCAAAAATAAACCGCACACACTTACCAGAAAATCCTTCCGGACACGTACAGTTGTAGTAGGCAACACCGTCCACACATGTGCCGCCGTTTTGACAGGGGCCCGACCAGCATTCGTCCCAATTCGTTTGGCACTGGATCCCTGTGTAGCCGTCAATGCAGTAACACGAGTACGAGCTGTACTCATTGTTGCAGTTGTTGTAGTAGTTGTAGCAGTAGTAGTGGTAGTAGTAGTAGTTGTTGTTGTTGTTATCATGGCACATGCGGGAGTCGGCATTCGGTAGGTGTGGGCGCAACGGTGTGTCAATGATGCATCAAACGTTCAGCAAAAAAAGTTTTGTAGGCAAACCCATAAAATGAAAAAAAGAAGAGTAGAAAAGTGAAATAACAACAAGAAAACGTTTTAGATAAAAATAGTTTTACAAATAGCACAATATGGTGGAGCATGCAAAGACAGAGAGAAATGGAGGTAGATTGTGAGTGAGGGCAGCACCTGCACTGTGAGAAAATACAAATTGCAACCGGAAAACAGAGTTAAGCTAGAATGAAGAGTATTAAAAAATTATATACAATAAATTTATAGTGAATTTAAAGTTATTTGGAATTTAAAATTTCATAAGCTCTATTTAATTAATTTCACTTGTAATCTGGTGAATACAGTTTTTAGATTCCTCTTTAAAGTCCTGTACATGAGTTTACCAAAGCTTTAAAGCTTTAAGGAAGCGAATATGAACACTTGGAAGAATAATGAGGCTTTAATTTACAGTCAACATGTATTTCAGCTTTAAACCCGCTTTAAGTGTTTTTCCTCCCTTTACTCTACGCTTCAGTTCAAATTGCTTGAATATTGAAGGTTTTATCTTTGGAGATGAGAAAAACTTTTAAAAAGCTTTCATAAAATTAATCCATTGGTTTATCAAACCACTTTGTTTCACTCAAAGCTTTCAAGTGCTTTCAAAGCACATACATAAGTTTGAGCAACTTGAAGTCAACTCTATTTGTCTCAGTGTAGTGTGAACTGGTGTTAACACCATTTGTTAGTAATTGGAGTGGCTGTGTGGCAGTGTGGCAGTGTGTGTGCGCATACAATTGTATATTTATCTAATAGGAGGGAATGTATCTGGATTTTTGCTCAGTGCTCTGGCGAGTGCGATAAACATGGGCAACGTACTCGAAACATTACGCTTGAGTAGTGGAAATAAATATTTGGTAGCCAATTGGGATTAGTTTTTCCAGCTAAGAGTGAATTGAAATTGAAAAGGAAATGGCTACGACAGCAGCAACAGTAGTGGTAACTGTAACAGTAACGGTAACATATCGAAACTGAATCCGTTGTCAAGGGAATGTCACCGACATGCCTCAACATGCCAGACACACACACCCTCTCTGTATAGGTTTTTTGGCCCACACAGCTTAATTAAAGAACTTTTGTTGCAGGCATGTAGCAGGCACTCTTTTATTATGGATCACATTAGGATGCAATAGTATAGCACTGTTTGGAGAAAGCATTGAATTGGGTAAACAGCATCAACAGCAACAGTAAAAGCAGCATCAACATTTTTGCTCATGCCTTTGACATGGACTTGCTTGCCCCAGAGGCCTGTTGATTTGTTGGCAAGCCGAATAGAAAAAAAAAAAAAAACAATTGTACTGAGTAGATAAATGGCCTTGGGGCATCACATTAGCTAGGAGCAGCAAGAGCAGCACCAGCAGCAGGAGCGGCAGCATCATGTATGTTACATGCGATGGCTTGGCTGCATGGCAGCAAAAGACGAATGAAACAATGCATGCATTTTCGAGTGATAAATAGTTTAGTAAATTCGCATACAATGGTATTTTCTGAAATACTCTTATGTGCTACAAGCCTAATATTAGAAGGTGTAGCAAAGGGAGCAGATGAGAAGCGCAAGGAGAGGCGGTAGCCGCCTTAAGGATGTTATGCTGTTTTGCTATGTTGTTGGTTTCATAGTGTCAATTGAAATGAGAGTTCCAGTATAATAATGTAAAAGCTCTTATTTAACAGGCCCTATTAAATTGTTTAATAATATTTTGTAAATTAAATGATGAATTTAAAAAATTTTAATTTAAATTGACTGTATCAGAAACCTTAAAGATGACGTAATAATTATTTCAAGCATAAATCACTTTTATAGATCCCTCAACTCCACATCACTCGATATGTATTATCTTATTATAAATGTATTCCAAGCATATTTATCTAATAACCTCCAACTTTGGCAAACCCCACACACTCCATTAAAGCTCATCTTTGCCTTTGTCCATACTATCTATATAGCGGCAAATTTGTTAAAGTTTCATTGGCAAAACTGTTGGCAAACAAATTTGTTGAGCATTTCATTTGAGCAGTTTAACGACGGCCATAAAACTTATTCATCTCTGATACGAGTCATAAATACTGCTATTGCCGCAAACTAGTTGAACATAAACCACGATAAGCCAATAAAATATCAATGTACGCGGATAAGTCTAGTGCGCTGGTGGCCATAACCGAATTTGGCCAAAAAACTTTAAGATGGGCCAAAAACTATTCAGTTAATCCGTTTAAATCTCATGGAATCGTGTTAAATTTAATTGCAGCTATAAATTTTTCTTGGCAGCGCATAAACTTCTATCCGGCTAGTTGGCTGCCTCTCTCTCTCTGTGTGTGTGTGTTTGTGGTGCTCTAACCCCGCACCACTGCCACGCAGCCACCACGAAATGGCGGTTATGTCAAGAAAAGCGCGCTAGAAAACATTTCAACCGTCTGCTTCGACTCGCATTTGACTTGCAGCTCTCCGTGAAGCTATCGTAAAAAGTATCGTAAACGCTTTTTATGCTGCAAATTCACAGACTATGAGATTGGGTGGCCCTAAGCTTCGCTCCGTTGAGGTTTAGAGTTAGCTTAGCTCCCATTTCTGGCCACATATCGCGGCGAGTTGAGAATAAAATGGCAGTTACTTAGTCGTATTGCTGCTGGCTGAGCAGCAAGGAGTCAGCAAGGAGGCGCCAAGCAGCATTGGCAGCTGTTCGCATCATCTTTGGCTTGTTTGTGCAATAATATTTATAGCCATGCATGGTTATATGCTCTGAAGCTTAAGTTAAACAGAATAACTAATGTAGAGCGCGTCAACATTGGCAAAGTTATTGAACGTAAACTCTCAATTGAAACTGAGAGGCCAAAGTTCTCTTGTGTTTCCATTGCCGAATATTGAGTAGCAGCTTCAAGTTTCAAATATTAACTTTAAGTTAAGCTCAAGCACTTGCGTTTATACATAAATATATATAGATAGATAGATAGCAGAATATATATTTACCATTTGCAAATATGCTTGATATGCTTTTTTGACTATATTCACTTTGTCTATGGATCGTTTGCTCATGTTAAAGTAAACGAATTTACTTGTAGAATATGTAGGCCATGGCCTTCAGCTTCTGCAGCTCGTATCATTGTTGTTGACGTCGTTTAAATGCTGATTGAATATGTCTTATTAACTCGTCTGCTATCTATTTATTTGTGCTTTTTAATTCATGTAATAAATCTATTAAGAATTTACTAAATTATTAAATTAAATATGTAATCAATTTCTCAATATATTGTATATTTCCTACCACCAACTAATCTTATTTTTGAAGGCTTTTTATATATTTTTCTCTCAAATTTTTTTTATCTAAATTTTCTTATACATATTATCAAATACCTTTCACTTGACTTTCATTGTTCTTTTCTAATTTATATCTGCAATCGGCTAGGCATCTATTAGATATTAATATAAGATTATTAATTATTTCGTCCAACAAGCTCATTTTATTTTCGAAGACTTTTTATATTTTTTCTCTCAATTTTTTCTTCAAACTAAATTTTCTTATACATATCAAATATCTTTTACTTGACTTTCATTTTAATTTTTTAATTCATATCTGAAATCTACTAGGAATCTATTAAATAAATATTGAATGTCTAGAGATATATTTCGTCTATAAGATTATTCTGTATATAAGATTAGACTGTATAAATTCTTTGAAATACTCTTTATATGCAAAATATATTTTATTTTATACTGTTTATTATTTGATATATGTACATATATCGATTTTCTTTCTATCTTTTCTTAAATCTAAAATTTTTTATACATATTCTCAACTAACTTTCACCTGAAACACCTTTTAAACACCTCCCACACATAATTGATTTAATTTTTATTTTAATCATTTCCGCTTCACTTCACCTACTTCAAGAGTTTTTCCACAGCTTGAGTCTAATGTGGGGCGTTCTACGAGTTCGTAGGGCTAAACCGCATTAGTTGCATAATTTAGTGAGGCTAAGGATGTGCATCGGACACACTCGTAAGTTAATAATGCGCAGCTTATGCAATTGAAACCACTCACTCCTCAATGGCCGACCCGCTGAAGTGGGCACTCGGGGCGACCACAGCTTGGCCTCATTTGTGAGAAAAGGGGCACATGCATAAAAAGAGGCAAGATAAGGGGCTGGCAGAGGTAAGGGGGCTGGGCAGTTAGGAAGAGTTTGCGGCGGGCTAACTGTGTGGCAAATTCATTTGCCTGCAAAGTGGCGGCATCAACATGTTTGTGCCGGCTGTGTGGTGCTGGCACTGGGCCTGGGATATTGATGGCAACGGTCGAGCTGCTGCCGTTGCTGCCGTTGCTCTCAAGTGGTGCAAGTTTATTGCCCACTCGAAATGTGTTGAACGGAGTTTATTGGCTTGGCGATAATAAGCAATGGCTGCAGCCAGGGCCTCGCACTTAGTTGAGGTAGCATATGGAACGCATTTGACTCACCTGTTCAGGCCATCGATGCAGACGCCGAATACACACGGATTGCTGAGGCAAGCGAAGCCCGCTTGGCTGCTGCATACCAGGCTGAGGCTCAGGCAGAGCGTCAACAGGAGTCCAGACTGTGGCCAGTTGTGTGCCAATGTTCTTAATGTCCTGCCAAGGCTTTGTGTTGTTGTTGTTGTTGTTGCTGTTGTTGGTAATTCCAGTGTTTTGTTTGCTGTCGTTGTTGCTGTTGTTGTTGGCATCTTTAGCAGGTGGTTTCGTTGCATGTCCGTTAATGGTTCCGTGGCTGAGTTGCTAAGCACCACAGTGGTGGTTGCTCCATTGGCCGTTAGCGGCGTTGTTGTTGCTGTTCTCGCATTTGCTGCAGCAATTGTTGCTGTTGCTGTTTGTATTGCTTTCTCATATTTAATGCATTTATTAGCAATAAAATCACGCCTTCGGCACATTTCACGTTCCATGGCGTTTAGCATTTAGTTACTGTAAATTTGTTTTTTAGTTTTTTGCTGTTGCTGCTTTTTCGTATCAATCATACGCCCCGTGGCACGTTCGATTGTTGCTGCTGCTGCTGTTCTATTTGCTTTTTGCCGTTGCGCTCAACTGCAATTTGAATCCTTTTAGGTGCTTTATTAGTTCGCATTGTTTGTTGTAGCAATTATTTAACTATTCCATTTACTTTGTTATTCTTTTTTATTGGTTCCCATTATATTGCATTTGCCGTCTGTGGTGTCTGCCAGGCATCGCATTTCACTGACGGAGACTACACTGTCCTTTTCTTCTTGTTCTTCTTCTTTTTATTATTTTAGTATTATTTTTATGTATTATTGTATGGTTTTATAGTTCGTATTCGTTTCGTTTTGCTATTCGCTGCTGTTGCTCAACTTCTTCCCTGGTCCAATGATTGTTCACATTTTTGCAGCTGCAATTTAATTTTGCATGTTTTCAATTTGCCAGCTGCAAGAAAATAATAGAACAGAAAAACATTGTTAACAATGTACGAGTGGGAATTGTGTTGCAATGAAATTATATGAAGAGCAATGTTTTCGGTTTGTGAGGGTAAACTGTAGCTGAAGTTATTTATGTATATTAAAAATATATTTAAAATAAATCATATAA